TTTTTAGCAGGTGCCAAAGAGTACAGTGAAGGTGCCTGCTCAGTCTCAATGGGCAGGTGCTGCCTTTAAACATTTAGCAAACCCCACATTTTTCAATGCACCATTATCCAAACCTCAAAACATCCGGTCTATTTTAAGTGCATCTGTGAAAAGTTAACTTTCCCAGGAAGAACAGCATCCCTTGCAGGTCGGCTGATATGGCCCGGTTTGCTCCCTCCCCATTCCCTCCCTCTCCACCCCAGAGTGGCTGCTTCGGATGAAGGTGTGTATCTGCTTTTGCAAATTGCTCGGCAACAAAAGAATAATCCTGCCTCCAACAGAGCGCAAAATTATCTGTGAAAGGAAAATAGATTTCCTCTCTGTGGAGGAACCTGTGACCTGCATCTTCCGAACACAGACAGTTGAGTTGTCAACAAGTGCCGCTCCTGCTGTTGTTGTGCGGTTTTTTAAAAAGAAAACATTTTCCTTGCTTCATCAGCTTCAAAGAAAGCCTTTCGCTCTGTCGTTTCCAAGATTATAGCAAATTGCTACTGAATGGAGAAAAGGGTCTACAAGATGAGCTTGTCCTTTGATGGGATTGTGCCTTGCATGATGCTGCTGCCAGCCTAACCCAAAACCCAAAGCCTTCGGCAAGCTGGCTAAAGTGACTGCGAAACAAAAGAGCAGAAAGGACAGAAGCATTTTGTTGATAACATGGAGAAGCTTGCAGAAAAGCTGCAAATTAAACATTCATCCTGGTTTGGTTTGCAGGGAGAGTGGACAACACTGGCTGTTTAATGGGCATTCACTCTGATGTGGGGGTGTTAGGTGGTGTTGCACCACACTTTCCAGTGCTTTCCCCACCTCTCTGGTTTTACCAAAGTAGGAGCCTGCTTTTGTTTTGCATATCTCAGAACCACCGGGCAGACTCCCAGCATCAGGGCCAGCCCTACCATTAGGCAGAGTGAGGTGGCTGTTTGAGGCAGCAGATGCTAGGTGTTGATTGTAAGGCTGAGAAGGGTTCCCCATTCTAAGTATTGCAGTTGGTTCACAAACCCATAAAGATAATCAGTTGATTGACACAACCCAAGACAAAGTGGGTTGGTGAGGCTTATTACAGGGTTGCAGCTGATCACCTCCCTGTGGTGATATTTTGCTCCGTTCCTGGCTTTGCACAGCTGATGATTCAACAGGCCTACTAATCAGGATTTGCCAGCCTCCTGTTGAGTGACCCAATTTAGCCAGAGGCAAAGGAGGCCAGGGGAGGAGCCACAAAGCAGATGCACCCCCTGCAGCAGGGAGCCCACCTCATTAGAGACCGCTTAACCCGTGCGCCAGGCCTGCAGGCTGGCAAATTAGGCAGCCACAACGCAGAGAGACGGCGGCTCAAAGCCCCAATGAATCATTCAGCAGTTGCCTGTGGCACACTTGAAAGGGAACATCGCTTGTTCCAGGAGATCAGAGGCCCGGCTTGTAGGAGAAGAGGTCCCTGAGGGGGAGCTGCCTGCCCCGTCTGGAGCACAGTGCCAAGCATCACTTGCTTTGTGAGATGGGAACTGACAGAAACTTATGTCTAGAACCAGCCTGAAAAGGAATGTGTCCATGCCAGTTTTTGAAAATTCCCCTCGTCCAAGCAGAGCTCTTTTCCAAGAGGATCTCTTTTTGCTGCCCCACACTTTCTCCTCCCTAAATCTGGAGATTCCCTGCACTTTGAAAATTTGAATAGGAGAGCTACATTGATTACATTGGGAATCTTAGATTTAGGGAGGAGAAAGTATGGGGCGGAAATCACTGGAGAAAAGCGTGCACCGAAGAGGGAGAATTAAAGGAGGTGCGGGAAGTTCACAATCCACATTAAGCAGAGGTGGGGGATGGGCCAAAACATTCCCCCCCCATTTGATTTGGGAATTTTCCCACCCACCCCGCTTTGCATTTCTTACTCATAAAAATAGTAGAGACAAGACAGAATATGCATCTTAAGTATTTGCAGATCCTGCCAAAGAATTGCAACACACCAACATGCCAATCTCCAGCAGACTTCGCCAACCTGGTACCTTCCAGATGTTCTTGCTATGCTGGCTGAGGCTGATGGGAGATGCAGGCCAAAACATCTGGAAGGCACCAGGTTGGTAAAAGCTCATCCACACCAATCAAGCGGTATAATGACAAGTTTTGAAGTGCAGGATTTCCTCATGACAGCCCCGGTCACCAGGCCTCCAGAGATCCATATACACAAAATTCTATGCTAATTCACTGAGTAAAATCCATTGAACTCAATCATACCTGCTTCTGACTGTGTAGGTTCAACTTGTAAAATGCTTTGAGCTTTATCAAAAGATCTTCTGCCAGCTGAAATTAATATTTATTATTATTATTAATTAAATTTGTATATTGCCCTTCACCCAAAGATCCCAGGGCATTTCACAACAGAAAAATACAAAATTAGAATATAAAATACATTTTGCTTTCAGTTAGAACTTTGCAAAAGAGGTGTGAGAATGAAGAAGAAACTGCACCAATAGAAAGCAGTATATACCCCCGACTGATTAACTTCCTTATTCCTCTGCACTGATCTGTAAATCAAATTTGAAAGCCCCATAATCTTCGTCATTCACCTGCAGAGCAAAGCAGGTCTTCTGTTACCCTAGCATTTTGGCAAATGGAGCGCTAAGAAGAGACCTAAATTTGGATCAGATCAAAGGCCCATCTAGTCAAACATCCTCTTGTCACAGTGGGCGATCAGATGCCTCGAGGGAGCTCACAAGGAGGACATAAGTGCTGTAGCCCCCTCCCCAGCCACTGGCCTTCAGAGGTAGGACACAGCCATCATGGCTGGTGGCCACAGATCACCTTCTGTCCCATGAATTTGTCTGAAACCCTGCCCAACAAGCTGCTCCAGAAATATGTATCTCCCTACTCCTTGAATCCTTACAGGCTCTAAGTGACAGAGCATCTGCCTTACATTCAGAAGGTTCAGTCCTGAGCAACTTCAGGTAGGTGTCTTCTGTTGCCTGAAACTCTTGAGAGTCCCTGCTGCTACCAGTTAGACAGCGCTGAGCAAAATAACCAAGGTGCTGACTCAATGTAGGGCAGCTTTCTTTATTTCCTAATGCAGCAGTAACTGATAGACATGGGCCTCCATTCTGCAACTACTACTGAGGTCCTGCATTTGTGAGGAGTCATCTCTTAGTGTGCTGTATTGATTAAAGAGTTGGACTAGGACCTGGGAGGCCAGGGTTCAAACCTCCACTCGGCCATGAAGTTCACTGGGTGACTTTGGCCCAGTCTCTCAGCCTAAGCTACCTCACAGGGTTGTTGCCTGGTTTGAATGAGGACTAGGGGAAGCCATGGACACCACTTTGAGCTCCTTGGAGAAAGTGGTGGAGTAGAGATGCAACAAATAAAAACAAACAAATTAGGGCCATGGTTTCTAAGTCGTGAGTCGTGAGCTACTTTCAAATAGATCCTACATCCCATCCCCCACTGTGGAATTCAGCCCAATGTAGAAGCACAAGGGTGATCATCATGAAATGAGAATGAGCTGGAGAGAGCAGGTGCTCACTGGATCACCTACAAAAGGGTTTTCTGACTCCTTTGCTTTTGACATCGCTAGGACAAGCAGTACTCCAGCTTTCAGATCTTTGCCAGGAAAATAAACTTACTGGCTGAATTAATTTCTGCTTGGCACATGGCTGATAAAGGCACAACAAGGTGTGTGAGAGTGAGAGAAGGCAGCCTTTTTATCATCCTCAGTGACCACAAAGCCAGCCAGGAAAAGCATATGGGTGTGGCGGCCAAGAGAAGAAAGCTAGAGGTCATAAAGAAGACTTCCTTGGACTCCATCTTCCATAACCCTCTTTGACCAGGTTGGCCAACAGGCTAGGATGATGGAGCCACATCTAGGTAGATAAAGGATGGCATGAAAATATCCTGCTTGTGACGAGTGACCTCATGAGAAAAGAAGCCAATGCTCAGGGCCTTATCAGCAAAGGAACACAGGGAGCAGCCTTTTACCAACTCAGACCATTGGCGCATGCAGCCCAGTATTGTCTACACTGACTGGCAGCTGCTTTCCAGGACTTCAGGCAAGCATCTCTCCTAACCGTGCCTGGAGATACTGGTGGCAGTTAAACCTGGGACCTTCTACATGTAAGGCACTGAGCCACGGTTTTTCGCTCTATTCATGGTGCATCCCTGGAGCTGCCACTATCACGACAGTATGAGATCCCTTGCTGACACTAAAAGAGCCCAGTATTTCTCACTGTGGAACCAAGCCCTAATACTTTGCTCTGTGCTCCAAGACTGTCTTTGTTGCCGTCTTTGCCATGTATAGGACTGGGCTGTGAATGGGAAAGTCCTCAGCTTCCCTAATTCTGCAGTCACTCCCACCCCATACATTTAAGCATTCTGATATCACTTTAACTGCTACGGCTTTCCCCCAAGGAATCCTGGGAGCTGTAGTTTGTTAAGGATGCTGGAAACTGTAGCTCAATGAGGGTTCTCATGACAACTCTCAGCACCCTTAACTACAGTTTCCAGCATTCTTTGGGGGAAGGCATGAATGTTAAAGTGGCAGAAGACTGCTTTAAATGTATGGGGTAGATGCAGCCTGCATCAGATTGTGGTGTTCAGTATCTCAGCAGGACATGCTTCAGTTGCAGGGATGTTGATGGACTACAATTCCCATCATCTGTGGCTGTTGGCAGGTACGGATTGGAGGGGTTGGCCAGTCTTGTTACCTGGGCATGATTTGGGGGGCTCCACGTGTGAGAGTAGAAGAAGAAAGTGTGAGAAATCCAGCCAGGGCCACAAGGACCTTCAAGGCCCCCAGTCCCAGCTATTTGAGGCCTTCCACCCTGAGAACAGAATTCCAGGTGCAAATTGCCTCCTTCATTGCCCCCACCTCCCAGTGCAACCAAAGAAAGCATCCTGATGGTGACTTCTCCTCCTGAGGAGGCTATGTGAGGCTCAGCTCCACAGACTTAAGACTCCTGAAAGGCTAGCAGGTGTGCTTATCAACCATGATGATTCCCTGCTATATCTTGCTGCTGCTTCTAAAGCTAGCAGGCACCTGGGCTGCTCAAGAGGGAGAATGCAATGAGGCCTGGATTCCTGTGACTAAAGGACCAGAGCAGCTGGAGTCTAGAAAAGGAAACCTGTTGGCTGTACAAGAGAGAAAAGATGCAAGGAGAGATGGGCATGCCCTGGGAAAACAAATTCCCAACCTGAAGTGGAAGGAAGAAACCCAAACACTTGAGCCAAGGCCGCCTGAGGATCTTGTAGGGGAGGACCACCAAATTAAAGAAGGTCCCTCCTGGCAGCAGGGCCCTTGCCCCAGCAATGGAGGCCCTCAGCAGTGGTGCGGCAGCTGGATGGTGAAATCCAGCTTGATCTGTGTTTTGGGGCTGCTGGCCCTGGTGGGCAATGGGACCATTATCACAGTCATTGCCTCCTCTGTGTCCGGCTGGAGTCACAGCACTCGCCTGGTGCTGTTGTCCTTGGCTGCGGCCGATACCGCCCTGGCAGTGCTGGTTGTGCCCCTCAACCTCTACCGTAGCTTGGTGGTGGGGCCGATGGCAGAAGAAGGGGAGGCGTCGTCCTGCCGGGCGGTGGCCTTCATCAACTGCTGCATTTTTGGGGCTTCCCTCTACTCCTTGGCAGGTGTCTCCCTGGAGCGCTACGTGGCCATTTTCTACCCTCTGCACTATAGGCGCCTGCTGAGCCACAGGAGGGTGGTCCTCCTCATCACCGCTGCCTGGCTCCTGCCGGCCCTTCTGCTGGTGCCGCTGGCCGTGCCGGGCCCAAGAGCCTTGCTCCAAGTTCGCTTCTCGGCCTCAGCCCTGCTGTGTGAGCCAGACTACGGCTCAAACACCACCTACTCCCTCTTCATAGCAGGCACCATTTTCTGCCCTGCTGCTGGGACCATCACCTTTGCCAACCTGTGTCTGTGGCGGGCAGCCCGCTCCCAGTGCCAGCGTGGGAAAGGTGGCAGGGCCCTTCCAGCGAAAGAGGCAGGGCTGAAGATGCGCTGTGTGCTGCCGTTGGATGCTGCAGCCCGCATCCTCCTGCCTGTCGTCATCGCCTTCTATGTCTGCTGGGTGCCCTGCATCGTCACCATGCTGTACAATGGTGAGTGTACAGAGAGGGGGTGGTTGCTGTTCTGGGGATCCAAAGCAAACCGAAAGCAAGAGGGGCAGGGGTGGGGGCTGGCTAGCAATTCATATGCGCCTAGATACACTTTGATATAATTACTACCAGCAGGCTCTTGCCAGACGCTGAAACAAAAACAAAACAGAAAAGATGCTGCAGTTTTGAAATCGGGGGTCCAAATCAGTGCAGTATTGAAAGGTTCGGTCTGCTATCTTGAAACAAAATGGTATCTAATTATATCCAAACATAGATGAAAACTTGCTTCTTGAGCTCTGGAACCAGCATGCAAAATTTGGATATGATATCCTAAGAGGTGCTCAGATGCAAAGCAATCAGACAAACAAGTTTCCAAAATATATGGTACAAAATAATGGAAATGCAATACATCTCACAACATATGGGGAGATTACGACCAGGATCTCAGTAAGCAACACCTGGAGAACAAACTGTTGATGGCCAGTTTCAAAGGCTGATGTGCTCTCCCCTTCTCATGGGTTTTTTAATCTTTAAATTTGACATGGACCGGTCCCAAAAGAGGACTGTCCTCTGACAGCAGTTCAAACAAAGAAACTTCCTCTGCAAAGTAGGGCCATGGGCACTCTTATTGCTGCCTGAAGCTCTCCCCACCTCCAAGTACTAGATGCTGTATTGGTTAACTCTGCAGCAATTTGTACTTCATTGATTGAAAAGCCAAAGTGATTCAACAGAGAGAACGCAAGCATAATTGTTCTAAATAGGTTATCTACAGTTTGAAAAACACTTCAGCAGCTGCAACGTCTGATTTGCTGTTCCCCATCCTGCAAAGAAACATAAAGAACTAAAAGTCTGTATGGATGCAACAACAGAAAACATGTCCCCAAACTATGGGAGATTGTCTGTGTTGCAATTAAGACACAGTCATTACATACACGTATACACCCCAATTCCCTAAATACTACAGTGCATTATTCACAAAGATTTTCCAAACAATGTGGTCTAGAAGCTTGCTTAAAAACAAACAAAAAACGACTTTGACCTCATGTACCAAACATAAACAACCTGCAATGTTCACTTCTTTAAAACTTGTTTGGCATTAGGTAATTTGATCCTAGAAGGATGGATGTGGTTGGGCGAGTCTTTGCATGGAGGTCTAGAGACTGAGGTAATTAAGCACTACAGTTTCAATCAAATTTCTGACATCGCTGGGTAGATTTTCCTCTTTCCAAGCAGTAAGGTGTGTGTGTCTGTGGATGGCATTTCAAGAGTAGGGGTGGGAGGGATAGAGAAACTAGTAGGAGCCAGTGCTAAGACTGTTACGCTAAGATCAATTACCTGGAAGTAGAGATGGGGGAGAAATTTGATTTGCTTCAAATTTAAAGGCAAACCTACCAAATCCACACTTTCTGAAACAATTTGCGAACTGAAACACTGCCTCCCTTTTGAAATTCACTAACTTTTGCAATCCGTTTCTCCATCTGAGTAACGTGTAGAAAAGTGCATATTCTAGGGTACATGGTGGAAATAGCATGCAAAAATAACACACATAAGTGCTTTGCAGAAATGTGTGTATGGTATTTGACAAAACTGCAAAACAAAAATTGCGTATATTAGGAGAAAATCACATTAAAATGCTGGCGGGTTCTCATGAAGATTTTAAGAAAATAATATGAATCCGCAAACTGGTGTGAAGTTCAGTGCAGAAGGGAATTTAAGATGGGTTAATTTCAGTTTCTCATTTTTCCAATTCACCCAGCCCTACTTGGGAGTAAGCTCTGTTAAATTCAGAGGGACCTAGTTCAAAATGATCATGTATCCAAACTGAGTTGGTGTCATAGAAGATGGGCTTGCAGGCAACATGGCGGGGGCAGAGAAGGCTTATCCATGATTGGAGTGAATAGGGTACTCCCCTTCCAATCTCAGTCTGCCCTCTGCCAGCCCCCACCAGCCTGCCTTCTTACTTACCCATAACCAGTCCAGAGGGTGGTCCTGCCTGTCAGTTCTCCTCCTCCTCCTCCTCCTCCTCCTCCTCTGTCTCAGCATTGCCCTTTACTGAACTGAGCAGAGGGACAAAACTGGAATGAGTTTGCTCTGCCTGCCTTTGACTTTGGCTCCATGTGCTCTTGGACTCCCTGTCTTATGCCTTACCTGTCCCAAGGTGCACCATCTATCAATGCTCCTTACCTGCTATATATTGCTGCAGACATCGGAGGAGGCACTTCTTAGATAGGAAGCTGCCTTATACAGAGTCAGACCATTGGATAATCTAGTATTGCTTGTGGTAGTGACTGTCTGAGATTTCACACCGTGAGTCTTTCTGTGCCCTACCCGGAGATGCCAGGGATTGAACCTGAGACCTTCTGCATGCAAGGCAGGTGCTCTACTACTGAGCTACGAGGTAGAAGATCAGCTCAGTGGTGACACGTAGCAGAGCTTTAACTGAGCAGCCCACATGGCTGGGAACTTCCTTCCAGTGGATATAATACAGGAGCCTTTAAGGATCATACAAAATCTTTGGGGATTTTGGTTGCTATGAAATACATTTTTATTTCACCTGGCCTCCCCAGAAGGATAATCCAAGCCTGGTCACTGTTAATTTTGGAGCACTTTAATGTTATTTTAATAGGTTTTTTGCTTGGTTTTCTTAATATATTGCATTGTATTTATTTCTATCCTGTACATCTCTCATTAGAGGTTCTTTTGAACATAAAGCCATTAAGAAATAATGCTGTGAACTGCCTTGCGATCTAGAGATGAAAGGCAGTATACAAATTTTATAAAGAAATAAATGAAACAAAAAGAAATATTCTAAGATAAAGAATGAAATCAGATAAATGCATTGCATCCTCCTGACTAAAACATGTCTTCCCTGTGCTGTCTCATTCCAGCTATCACCCACAAAAGAGTCCATGGATGGGTTGAGATGGTGGCCTTGTGGCTCCCCATAGGCAGCGGCTTCCTCAACTGCTTTGTCTACTTCTGGACCAACAGGAGCTTCCGGCACAAGTTCCAGAAGATCGGGCATAAGCTGTGCTGGCCCTGCTATAAGGCCACAGAGGACCAACGGTGGCAGCGGCAGCAGCAACAGCAGCAGGAGCTCCCTACCGTCAGTGCGGCCGTGAGCAGCATAACCTCCCCCTAAGGCTCCTCCTGCAACATGAGTCGCCCAGCACCAGCTTTTCCAAGAAGGCCAAGCCAAACTGTAACAAACCAACACCCATCCAGGCTCTCCTTACTTAGTTCAGTCTGGTTTGAGGAAACCTTGCTGCAGCATGAGGGCCATTCCTGGAGCACATCTGCATGTATCTTTTGGGAGAGACCTGGATCCCTAAGCAGTTGGAAGGGCAGTTCTGGAAACAGCCATGCCAGGAAGTGATTCAAGAGAGGAAACTCAGTGTCTTACTTGGCTGGGTTTCCACTTGGGGGTTATTTTTGTGACTGGCTGTGCTGAACTAGGCTCTAAGCTGAGAAGGCCAAGGAGCTGGGGACAAGTGCTGTGCCACAACACACCCTGATGCGCCTGCTCCCACTTTTCAGAACTGCTTCGCCAAAACATCGGGTGGTTTGCCCCCCCCCCCCAAAAAAGCACCAGGCAACTGCTGGGAAGTGGTGATAGAGCAGCCGCAGGCAAAATTTGTACAAGGGATGTAAAAGGAAAGCAGGGGTCACTGGAACATCAAGTTGAGCAGAGAGCTGCCTCTCCCCCCCCCATTTATATTTCTATCTCTGTTCTCTCTTTCTATTCCTCCTCTCTTCACCATTACAAACACTGCAGCAACCATTTTGTTCCCCCAGACCTACGGAAAGGAGACTTGGTGGCAAGGAGAGAAACCCTTTTAAAAATAATAATAGTAATAAAATATGAAAAATGGTAAGGGTCATGGTGACTATTTTAATGCTCCTTTAGCAACCAGACCCTGCCATCCGCTTGAATTTTAAGAGTAGGGTTTTAGCTAATGGTTTCCCTCCTCCAGTGTGCTGGGCTATTGTTGACAGAAAAACACGTGTGGGAGACCCATCGTCACGTTCCGTAACAGCCAAGGCTCATGAACCGAGGACGAAATTGCTATGAAATGAAAACATCTGTGAAGTTGATCTGAGCTGACCTACCCTGTAGGGTCCATCCCCCGCTTTTTGGCATGTTGAATTGGCCACGGACCCCATACCAGACCTCATGACATCTTGGAATCTCTTCATCTCAAGCAGAAGTGGAAAACCTTTGTCCCTCTGAACGCTGCTAAGCTTCAACTCCTTCAGCCCTGGAGAGCAGGGCCAGTGGGAGTCTGGAGGTCCAAAGGCCCTCCACTTCTCCTCTAAAGAGATGTACCAGGATGCAGTGGGTTAAAACAGAAGACACGTGCCAGCGCTTTCACAAGACTGCAAACCCCGCTGAAAAAGACCACCACTTGGATTCACCTCATCCCACAGGGGTGGAAAATGCTTGGGCAACTAGTTCCTTGTTCCCAGAAGCCATGTTATAGCATGTAGCACTCCTGTGGCTGTTCGTGTTTTTACAGCAGAATCAACCCTCCCTCCCTGTATCCTGTTGCTGCCCAGTCAGTTTTTACATAACCTTGTCTCTCCCTGCCCCACATCGCTCTCTTCTTAACTATTTTATACACTAGTTTTTAAATGATTCAGAGTGAGAACAGAGAACTGAAGAGATCAACGTCTCTGAATGAAGAGATCAAGGTTTCTGATTCAATTGCCTCCCCCCCCCCTTAAGATCCTAGCAGTTAGAGACATGCAGAAACACAAGCCATTGCATAGAGAGTGACTAATTCTCTTCCTTGGGAAACTCTTTCCCTCTCCTAGTAGGCATTGTTTATTTCTATTTTTTTTGCAAAAAGGCCGGTGGCGGGTGGGGTATTGGGGCAAACTTGTTACAGAATTTTTTTCTGCTGCAACAAAATTGGACTAAGATCTCAGGCAGGGCTTCTGTTCAGAAAACTAGCTGTGTTCGTGATGGGATGCCAAGAGCCCTCTATTTGTTTTCCTCCTTTCACCTGCAATATTCCTACCCTCTCTCTCTATGTGTGTGTGTGGGATTCTCTCCCACTCTGTAGCTGTTGTGCAACAGCGATTATGCGAAATAGCATGTTTGTATCTGATTTGCTTAAAATAGCCATATTGAGAGTATTATTGTTTTTTTATGTAAAGAAAAGAAAAACAGCATGAAATGATCCAAATCTACTTTGTAAACCCAAACCTCTCTCTAAAACTATCCCCCTCTGTTTTATTGTTTTCCGAGCCTTTTAAAAATCCTTTTGTGGCTTGGAGTTCTGTGTGTAAGTAACAATCCTTTCTCTCTCTCCACCCTCCCCCTTTCCTTTCTGATCTGTAAGTGTTGTGTTCCTTGGAGAAAAATTATTAAGTTATAATTTAAAATGATTAAATAAAAATAAAGATTTTTGAAATAACTTTTGGATTCTGCCTCCTAATTTTTATTTTCTGCTAGCACTGTCAAAGGCCCTTGGGTTGCTCCCCCCTCCCCCATGCCAGTAGTTTGGGGGATGGAGGGAGAATTGCCAGCATAATTTTCTGGCCCTGTTCCTCTGCCTTGACAGAAGCCTATTGTGCAGGATTTGACATGGTGAAGCTTTTCCTGACATGCGGGTGGGGGAGGAAATCTCAACTTCTGGATGGCAGCATGTCAGTGGGCTGTGGAAGGCAACAGCAGGTTGAGAAAATGCCATTGGCAATCTCCTCTGTGCTGCTGTTTTTCATTCCTTTCCATATATTCTTCCCCTTTAGAATACAATATTGCCCAAGAACAATTTTGAGTGATGTTGCATTTGTAGGTGGGGGGTGGCTGTTGGAACACTCTGTAGAACCCAACTGAGCCTTTCACTTCCTGGCCCCTAAGCAGCAGAGTTCACTCAGTCTCCTGACACTATAGCTCATGTGAGGTCTTCTACAGCCTCATAAAAACTGCTAATGGATTTCTCTCCCTCACTCAACAACATTTCCAGGGTGGCAAATTATAAAATGTGGTGGCAGAAAATGCAAATACAATACAGGAAAACCATTATAAAAATGACAGGGAGTTAATTCAGTGTGTCAGAATATAACTCACTCCTGTGTACATGGGGTCCCCACTTGGGTATCAGAGCACCACAGAACTATGTCTGGTCCATGTGTGTGAAAGAGAGAGAAATGGCCACCTTGCCCTAACCTGCTGCCCTCCAGAAGCTTTGGACTACAATTCCCATCAGCCTCAGCCAGCAGCCATTCTGGATTTTTAGGTTTGGATGTTTAACGGATGTGCTGTTGCTGTTGGGTAAGTAATACAAAACTGATGAAGCACACTTTGCTACTTCTGTGAGTTCCAGCAATGTTTAGTATACACACAAGATGGTACTGATAAAACATTTTATTGAGTCCTGGGTACAGGCAGCTGACTACTTAAGAGACTGCTGAGCACTGGCCGCCCTGGCTGGGACTGATAGGAACTGGAGTCCAACAGCATACAGAGGGCCTGGATCAGGTTTCCCACCCCTGACAGAGTGGTAAGCTGGCAATTTACTCCCCACAGAGCCTTCCCAACCACCCCCTGCTCATTGGCAGAGAATGTGGCTTCTCTGAAGAAGATCCCCATTTCAATCTCATCCATCTCTGGTTAAAGGACCTCAGGTAACAGGAATCTCAGGCAAAAGATCTTCATTGCTGGTGAGGGCCCTCCAGGTGTTTCAGACTACAACTCTCATCAACATCAATGGTCAACTTGGCTGATGTTGATTGGGGTTCTGGTCCAAAACATCTGGAGGACACTAGGTTACAGAAGGTAGACACCAGGTTATGGGAGGTAGACAGCTTCTGTCTATGTGGGTGACGACCTTGAATCGGAGCTCGTTCACATTTCATCTGGCATGGGAAAGGTCCCTGCAGAGCCTTTGTCCAGTGGCTGCCCTTTTCTGGCAAGCTGGTCCCCATACACCCACCATTGGTCTGTAGGATTTGGTTCTTTGAACACAGTGGGAATCCCCAGCTGGCTATAATCCCTTGGCTCCTGGATCATGTTGCCATCAGTCCATGAAACACGGGCAGCAGTCTCCCATTTCCTGCTGGTACTTCTTGTTGAACCTCTCAATCTGCAGTGGGGAAAAGTGGTTCTTCCAGTCTCCAACAATACCTAAGAAGAACACAAAGGCATTGTCTGGCTGGGTCAGAGCACAGCAGACATCACCTTGTCCAGCAACATCTGGCCAGAGGCAGCAATTAGTGACTGAGGAGTGTGGGAAATGCAGATAGTGGATGCCTGTTTTATCTCGACAGGAATGGTGCTCTGCAGAACAGGGGCAGCCACACTAGCAGCCTTGCTCTGAGTTACGGCAGAGCAGGCTTCTGAGATGGAACATGCAGGAGAAACTCTGCCACAGACTGCAGCAAACTAATACTGGGTTTGTTTTGAAGGAGCACAGAGCAGGGAGCAGCAGCTTTGCTGCAGAAGTTCCCACTCGCCCAGCCCTCCTTGTCTCCCCACCCACCTTTCCGCATGAACTGGCTCTTGGTTGGATCCATGATCTCATGAGGGACGAGTGTACCATTCACCATGGTGTTGTTTCTCATGGAAGCAAAACTACAATGCTTTTGGATGGAAGCCATCTGGCCTGGTTGCAAAGGGCAGTCAAGAAAGGCGCTCAGTCGCTCCACAGAGCCTTCCAGATCCTGGGGAAAGGGCAGGCAAGGAAATCCATTTTAGTTTCTCATTTTTCCCAATCTTAAGTTCAGTTCTGTGCATTTCTGCATTAGTGTGAGATTTATATTTTAAGAATGAAAATTCACCGGCATTTTAGCTGTGAATCCCAATACAAACACGTTTCTATGCAATTTTGCCTAATATAAACATTTTTGCAAAGCGGCTTTCTCTTAATATAATGCATGTCCTTTTCAGTAATGTAATCATTTTAATGTAAGCTTTACTCAGGTTGGTGCATTTTTGTGGACCTTCCTTGTCTTGAGAACTGCGCTGCAAAATTCAGAGAAGTGCGGATTACAAAAGATTGCTGCTTCAGTTTGCATATTGTTTCAGAACGTGCAAACTGAATTGAATTTATCTCTTATCCTTACCCTGGGATCACAGAAGTGAGTAGAGGGAAGAAGCTGGACCTTACAGGCTACATCCAGCTGTTGAGAGACACATAAAACACTCAAGGTGCAGGCCTGGGACACTCATTTGTCCCCGGGCAAATCAAGATGGGTAGGTGCCCAGGATCTCACTGGCACTGAGCTTTGCAGCATGTCCAGCTACTCTGCAAAGTTGGTGTTTTTTTAAAAGCTAGAAAAGGGAACAGAGGAAGCTTATACCTAGTTAGACCATTGGCCCACCTAGCTCAGTATTGTCTACACTTACTGGGAACAGCACTCAAGGGTTTCAGGCAAGGATCTCTCTCAACCCTACCTAGAGAGGCCGGGGATTGAACCAGGGGCCTTCTGCATGAAAGGCAGGAGCTCTGCTGCTAAGCTATGGCAAAACAATACAGGGAATGTAGCTCCCTGATACTGTCTATACATTGATTAGCAGAGACTCTCCAGAGTTTCAGATGGGCCTTCCTCAGCCCCACCTGGAAACGCCACGGATTGAACCTGGAGTCTTCTGCATGCAAAGCAGGGTCTCTGCTGCTAATCTGCAGCCCGTCCTCAAGCATCACCATCCAACCTGTTCCCTGAGCTGCCTGCATGAACCTGTCACTCCAGGGCAATTGCTCACACCCACCCTCCCAAACCAAGACTTCCCACCTGCTCTCCAAACAAAAGGCCCACAGACAAGGCTGCATCAACTTAACCACCCATATCATGGGGGGGGGCTAGGGCATGGGTAGGCAAACTAAGGCCCGGGGGCCAGATCTGGCCCGATTGCCTTCTAAATCCGGCCCGCAGGTGGTCCGGGAATCAGCGTGTTTTTACATGAGTAGAATGTGTGCTTTTATTTAAAATGCATCTCTGGGTTATGTGTCGGGCATAGGAATTTGTTCATCCCCCCCCCCATATATTCCGGCCCCCAACAAGGTCTGAGGGACAGTGGATCGGCCCCTGCTGAAAAAGTTTGCTGACCCCTGGGCTAGGGGAAATCACCTGATGTAGTTCCTCGTAGGTGATGTAGAAAACATCCAACTCCTCCTTGCAGCTGAGCCAGCCTCTGGTGTGTTCAAACCAGGAGCCGTAGTGCACTGTGTGGGACAGGACAGAAGAGATGGGTCAGAGGGGGAAAGCAGTGTCTTTGCCTTCAACATTGCATTAATCTTTCTCAGTCTGGGGCGACCTTCCGAGGGCCACATGGCAGCAGTGGCAGGACCAGATGCAAAAGTGGTTAAGGTAATGACTGTAAATGTTACCTTTATACAGAGTAGGCTACTTTCAACACACAACGCTCTAACCTCCATCCACAAAAGCAAGTGGCATGATCAGAATTCAAGGACACATTCCAGCCCAGCAAAAACACTCTGGGACTGGTGCGGGGTGTGTTTGACTGGGGAGAGTTCCAAGGGCCACATAGAGAGGCTCTGGGTCTGATGTTTTCCACCCCTGCAATAATGCCAGCCAGCCAGTCTACAGGTCTCCCTGGAGGGCAGGGTCCATTCCACCCTCATGCCCTTTGCTGAGATTTCAGAATGTGGTTAATCCATCCAGTGGCTCTGGCTCATTTAAGCAAAGGTAAATAGCAAAGTGTGCAATGTTGCTCTGAATCAACAAAAAATTTCTTTTTCTGTTCTCTTATTCTGTAATTTGTAAACTCTTTTTTTTTATAAGATATTTATTAAGGTTTTCAAAATATTACAAAATAAAAATAGAAAAAAGAAAAATACAAAATAAAAATAGTTAAAAACAAGTCAATCTTTCCATTACTTATTTTTCATTAGCTTGTTTCCCGGACCTCCTCACGCCTCCCTTTTTTGTATTCCAGTTCAGTTTGTTGGTTCAGCAAATCCTTCCCCTCTTTGTTTATCCTAATCTTTAATCTTAAAATAATATTTCAGCTAAAAACCATTTAATTTCTATCCAACATCATTCTAACATTCATTAATTTTACAATATTTCTGTAAATAGTCTTTAAATTTCTTCCAATCTTCTTCCACCAACTCTTCTCCCTGGTCTCGGATTCTGCCAGTCATTTTCGCCAGTTCCATGTTGTCAATCACCTTCGTCTGCCATTCTTCCAGAGTGGGTAGATCTTGTGTCTTCCAATACTTTGCAATGAGTATTCTTGCTGCTGTTGTGGCATACATAAAAAAAGTTCTATCCTTCTTTGGCACCAATTGGCCGACTATGCCCAGGAGAAAGGCCTCTGGTTTCTTCAAGAAGGTATATTTAAATACTTTTTCAATTCATTATAGATCATCTCCCAGAAAGCCTTAATCCTTGGGCACGTCCACCAAAGGTGAAAGAATGTACCTTCAGTTTCTTTACATTTCCAACATTTATTATCGGGCAAATGATAGATTTTTGCAAGCTTGACAGGTGTCATGTACCACCTGTAAATCATTTTCATAATATTCTCTCTTAAGGCATTACATGCCGTAAACTTTATACCTGTGGTCCATAACTGTTCCCAGTCAGCCATCATTATGTTATGTCCAACATCTTGTGCCCATTTAATCATAGCGGATTTCACCGTTTCATCCTGAGTATTCCATTTCAACATCAAGTTATACATCCTCGATAAAGTCTTAGTTTTGGGTTCTAACAGTTCTGTTTCTAATTTTGATTTTTCCACCTGGAAGCCAATTTTCTTATCCGAATTATATGCCTCCATTATCTGATAATAATGAAGCCAACCTCGCACTTTGTTTTTAGTTTCTCAAAACTCTGCAGTTTCAATCTGTCTCCCTCTTGTTCCAGAATTTCCCAATATTTTGGCCATTTGGCCTCCATACTGAGCTTTTTCAATGCTTTCGCTTCCATCGGTGACAGCCACCTTGGGGTTTTATTTTCCAATAAATCCTTATATCTTATCCAGACATTAAACAATGCTTTCCTGACAATATGGTTCTTAAATGCTTTATGTGCTTTGATCTTATCATACCACAGATATGCATGCCATCCAAATACATTATTAAAACCTTCTAAATCCAAAATGTCTGTGTTTTCAAGAAGCAGCCATTCTTTCAACCAGCAAAAAGTTGCTGATTCATAGTAAAGTTTAAGGTCTGGCAGGGCAAATCCACCTCTTTCCTTTGCATCTGTTAGTATTTTAAATTTTATTCTAGGCTTCTTGCCCTGCCAGACAAATCTAGAAATATCTCTCTGCCACTTCTTGAAACAGTCCATTTTGTCCACAATTTGCAATGTTTGAAACAAAAACAACATTCTAGGCAATACATTCATTTTTATCGCAGCAATACGACCCAGCAGTGAAAGCTTCAAATTTGACCAAATTTCTAAATCTTTTTCACTTGGCCCAGCATTTTTCATAGTTGTCTTTAAATAAATTCCCATTTTTGCTGTCATGTTAATCCCCAGGTATTTCACTTTCTTAACCACTGTTAAGCCTGTCTCATTCTGAAACCTCTCTCTCTCAATCGGTGTTAAATTTTTCTCTAAAACCTTAGTTTTTAACTTATTCAGTTTAAATCCTGCAACCTGACCAAATTCTTGAATCAGTTCTAAAACCCTTTTGGTACTAGATTCTGGCTCCTGTAACGTCAATACTAAGTCATCTGCAAATGCTCTCAATTTGTACTGTTTGGCTCCGACTTGTATACCTTTAACCAACTGGTCCCTTCTAATCATATTCAGCAAAACCTCCAGGACCAATATAAAAAGCAATGGGGAGATTGGGCAACCTTGTCGTGTCCCTTTTTCTATCTTAAATTCTTCCGTCACCACATTATTTACAATTAGTTTAGCCTTTTGTTCTGAATAAATTGCACTTATACTGTTTTCAAAGCCTTGGCCTACCCCCATCCCCTGTAGGTTCTTCTTCATAAAGCTCCAAGAGATATTATCAAAAGCTTTCTCCGCGTCCACAAATATCAAAACAGCTTTAGTATTTATGTTCACTTCTAATTTTTCCAAAATATTAATTATATTCCTCAAATTGTCAGACAAGTGTCTTCCCGGGAGAAAGCCCGCTTGGTCTTTATGAATTTCTTCCATCAACACTTTTTTCAATCTCTTGGCCAGAGTATCTGCAAAAATTTTGTAATCCACATTAAGTAATGATATGGGGCGGTAGTTCTTAAGCTGAGTCTTTTCAGTCTCTGTTTTCGGTATAAGGGTAATATACGCTTCTTTCCACGACTCTGGTGCCCTTTTCCCGTCCAATATTTCATTGCAGACTTCCTTTAAAGGTTGTACTAACCACTCTTTCAAGGATCTATAGTATCTAGAAGTCAGCCCATCCGGTCCTGGAGATTTGCCTAGTTGCATGTTTTGAATGGCACCTTCTACTTCCTGTTCAGATATTTTATAGTTCAACATTAGTTTGTTTTCTTGAGAGATTTTTTGTAGTCCATTTATCTTCAAAAATCGATCTATATCCATTTCTTTCTGTGGCCCTTGTGTATATAATTGTTTAAAGTACCTCTGGATGTAATTTGTAAACTCTTAATAAATATCTTTTTTTAAAAAAAAATCTCCCCTAGTAATGCAGGGAACAGACTCCCCATCTAAAATAGGAAGAATCAAAACCAGTGATCTGGCACAGTTGGAGTTGCCACTTGAATAGAATAGAATAGAATAGAATAGAATAGAAAGTGTACTGTGCCTTTAACATTAGTAGTATGACAGGCAGAAGTTCCATAGGTGCAAGGATCCTTCCCATTCTGTTTCACAGCAAGCTGTCTCAACTGGATTTCTGATTAAATAAAGGTGGTCTCAATAACTACCAGTTCAAGCAAGTTAGAAGCTGGGTTTATTTAGTGGTTCTGCTTTTCAGAACTGCCACTTTGCAATGACTAAAATCACACAGCTCCAAGGCTTTGCAAACTGCAGTGAACTTTGCTAGGATCAAAAGGGAAACCTGACCTCTGCTGTCCTGTGGGTGTTTGCTAGAAAAGTGTTTCATAAGCTCATATTAAAAGGGCAGAAGTTCGGGAAGGTATCCAAGCTAACACAGCTGGAAATTTAAGAAGCTACATTCCCTTAGAGTGACCCTCCTGAAACCTCAGTACAAACCTCAGAGGGCAGAAATCAAACAACTGCTTATTATGGTTTCATATTTGTGTAAGAATTTCAATTACTATTTTAAATTGTTTTAAAATGGAGGCCAGACTGCCCCCAAAATGTTTTATTTTTATTTATTTTTCAAAAAACAAACAAACTGGATTTCAAAGAGAAAAAGACACTACTGGTAGCAGTAGGGATCCCAGATTGTAGTAATAATATGACACTTCTAGTGGTACTAGAAATTCCAAATAGAAGCAGTAAGTTGTAGTAGTACTAAGATTGTACTGGTAGCACTATAGATCCCAGAGTAAAATCAAAATGCGAGCAAATGTAAGGTTTACAAACAGGCACTATTGTTAGCAGCAAAGATCCCAGATAGCACACAGGGAGAGAAGTTATATGTTCTTTTACTGTGTTATTGTGACCTTAAATCTCAGCTTTTATGAGTTTCCTCATGGCTTTTTAGCAGCAATGATGACACTGTAGGGAACTGAATTTCTGTTGCTGCAGGTAGCATCATTATGGGTCCAGCCCTCAGTGCTGCTGGGTATTTAAATGACGCCAGGGCACAGGCCCACAGTGCAAATTTGCACATAAAATTTGTATATGCTAATTTAAAGGTACAATTTCAAAATCAGGCCAGATTCCAGAGGTGGGAAATACAAACTCTGCCTTTTGCTTACTCTGAGGAATGGGATGCTAACAGGTCTTCCAGGGCCCAGTACACTGTGCATAGGGCCCTCTGCAACTTAAGGTGACTGGGGTCTCCATGACACTCTGTGTCTTGCAGCGCACCCAGCTGCCCTAGGAAACACCCCGGGCACAGTGTTGCTGCCAAGAGAAATGACCCAGCAACTAGCTTAGAGAACAGATGAGCAAGATCTGAAGTTTATAAAATTATGCAGAGCACAGAGAAAGTGGATAGAGAAAATGTTTTCCTCCCTCTCTCTCAATGCTAGAGATCATGGATGTCCAATGAAGCTGAATGTTTGGAGATTCGGAACAGACAAAAGAAAGGACTTCTTCACGCAGCGCATTAAACTATGGATCTCGCTCTCAAAGTGGGCAGTGGTGGATGGCTTTGAAAGAGGACTCGACACATTCATAGAGAATATGGCTCTCCACAGTCAGAGGCAGTAATGCTTCTGAAATATCAGTTGCTGGAAAGCACACAGGAAGGGAGAGGGCTCTTGTGCTCAGGCCCCTGGAAGGTTACCCAAAGGGAATGTGCCTCTCAGACAGAAAAAGGTTCCCCACCCCTGCGCTACACTGACAGGCTCTCTGGGGTTTCAGACATGCGTCTCTTCTGGAGGTGCTGTGAATTGAACCCAGGACCTTTCACCACTGAACTTTGGCCCTTCCTCTATTAGGTAGAAGTATCTGTACCATCTCAAAACTACATATTCCCAGGTGGCTCTGGGGTGTGTGTGTGATTGAAGCCATGATAGTTAAGGCATTGTTAGGCAGGCAGCCCAAATGACACCTGTGACGCAGAGATGCCCCACCTGACTCACACACCTGTGCCATCCAAGAAGCTGAGGAGGAACTCATCAAAGGTGCCAGGGTCAGGGAAGAATTTGGCCATCCTGCAGAAGTGATAGAAGGACACAGCAACATCTTTGGGGTTTCTGGTTAGGTGGATCACCTGCTGGAGCAAATGAAGAGGCAGAGGGCACACGCCATGTAGGTCAACACGACACAGCCCAGGTGGAAAGGATGAAAAGCACCCCTCCATTTTCCTTCCCCTCCATAACAAGAGCCACCCAACCAGCCCCACAATGGCCACCTCAGTGCCTCTGGGAAGCCCACAAACAAGACCCTCCTGCGGCGGTTGTTCCCCAGGAACTGGTGCCCAGAGGCATACAATATATGAATCTAGAGACTGCATAGAGCCATCATGACTAATAGTAGCCACGGATAGCCTTATCCCCCTTGAAGTTGTCTAACTCCAAATTTTAAAGCCATCTAAGGCTGCATACAAACCATAGTGTTTAAAGCACATTTCCAGGATAAACTGTAGCTTACTCTGCATAGAATTAAAATTCCCAGCACCCTTAACAAACTACAGCTCTCAGGATTATTCGGAGGAAGTGTCCTTTAAATGTATGGTGTGCATGCAACCTAAGCGGGCAAGGCTCTTCCTATATTCTTATTCCCCTCCCTTTTACAAACTTTAATGAAATTTGTAAAAAATAAAATAAAATACAAAAAAGTGTTGTCTTCCAGGACAAATACATGTACACATGTTAAGTCTTGTATGCAGTCATCCACATGACATCAAAACAGACTTGAAAAATGTTTTACATTACAGATTAAACTCACATCCACAGTGTATTCTTCAATCTAAAGTGTGAAGATAATTTCTCCATAGTGGCTGCTGTGACTGAGACAGAAGGAATCCCACTGTACTGTTGTTAATAAACGACATGAATCGAGACCATAGTGCCAAATCCATCTTTCTTCTTATCTTTTTGAGAGGGCTGCTGGTTGCCAATAAGTTTCCTTAAGTTAAAATGCCTGGTGGGAAATCTTGGAGAGCTGCTGGCAGTCCAAGTGTTAATGACTTGGGGTGGGGAACCCCTTTTGGGCTCAAGGGTCGCATTCCCTTCTGGGGAGATTTCTGGGGGGCCACATGCCAGTGGTGGGCATGGCAAGAGGCAAAAGTGGGTGGGGCAAAGGGGTGCAAGTTTACCTTTGAACAGTAGCATAGTTTCCACATACATTCTCGCTCCCTTCTCTGTTCTCTATCCAGCCAAGCAAGAGTTCAAGGATATATTCCTGCTGAGCAAAAACACCCAACGAGGGTGTGCAGCAGGGCCAGTGAGGGGGTGTGGCTTAGGGAGAACTGGTGTGCTGCGGGGAGGGACCCAGGGGCCAGTTAGAGAGGCCTGAGCTTCCCCATGCCTGACGCAGCCAACACTGAGCCAGATGGAACAATAGTCTGCCTTGAAATAAGGCAGCTGCTTATGTTCCAACAGAAGGGAATGGCCAAGGGGCTCAGGAGGAAACAGCCATGAAGGCTGCTGCTGCTACTGCTGCCACCCCCGGACATCTGCCGCCTGAGACAGTTACCTTACGGTAGAGCCAGCCCTATATGGCCAAGTATGGGATCTCCTTGCACATACCTTGGGCTTAGCTTTCCTCAGAGAAGCTGATAACACACGGTAGGGCAAATGGGTGGTGAGGAGGTGAGGTCCTTCTGTCTCCCGGAGAATCTCTGAGAAGTAAGTGTGCTCCAGCCATGGGTTCCGGGTCCAGTTGGGGATGTTCTTGGCAGGCTGAGGGTCTCCTTTGCTGTAGATTAAGGTCAGGATCTCCTGCATCCAGGTGGTGCCTAGAGGGGAGGACAAGAACATCAGCAGGGGAAGGCCTCTGACCTCCAACCACTGCATGACCTCCAGGGACAACCTCATTAATGGCAGGCTTGTTAAATATAAGGACTGCAATTGTTTCTGTTGCAAGGAAGAAGGCTTATTCATATAGGTGTAATAAGGTTACAGACTATCGAAGGCAGTCTTTGGTCCACCTTTGGTCACATCCACACTATACATGTGAAGTACATTTAAAGCAAATGAGTTCCACCAAAGGATCCTGGGACCTGTAGTTTCATTCCTCACAGAATAACAGTTCCCAGCACCCTTAAAAACTGCATTTCCCAATATTATTGGGAGGAAGCTATGCCCTTTAAATGTGCTTTAACTGTATTGTATGGATGAGATAAACTGTGAATGTGCACACTCCACACATTTAAAGCACATGACTTCCTCCAAAGGATCCTGGGACCTGTAGTTTGTTAAGGGTGCTGGAAATTGTAGCTCTGCGGGGGTAAATTATAGTTCCAGAATTCTTTAGAGGGAAGATCTTGTGCTTTAAATGTATGGTGTGCATGCAGCCTGTGTTAGCTTATTCATTTGATGAATAAAAGCATGAGTTAGACATTTCTTATAGACTGGGGGCAGGTCCAGATGGGAGTTTGCTGTGGCATTGGTTCAGTTTTGTTGTTGTTGTTGTTTTTGGCAATGTTCACAAGTCGTCATCATCATCAAAATGCCAACCCTTACTTTTTATACATTTAATCCAGATGTTCCCTTGCTGTAGAAAATCCAACAATTATGAATAAATTGTTATATGTCTACAGTTGTTTCTGGTATGGAAACTCGTTGGCAGACATTTTGGGAGGAGGGGAGGAGAGTTGAACACATTCTCTCTCTCTCTCTCTCTCTCTCTCTCTCTCTCTCTCTCTCTCTCTCTCTGCATACATAACAAACATTTAAAACACACAACACACACACACGAACGAATTCTGGGAACTGTAGTCTACCCTTACAGTTACAAGGATTTTTTGGGCAGTGTGGGAATATGCTTTAGAGGTATGGTGTTTATGCAGCCATCTCTCTTTCTCTCTCTGCCAAGCTCCACAACAAAAATAAGTGCTTCTAAAGCTGCTATTGCATTTCAGTGGAAACTCCCATTGGCACAAATGAAAGGCTTCCTTGAGTCTCTAATCCAGATACTGGAAAACTCTTGGGCCGACTGCTCCCCACTTGTCTCTCAGTGAGTCCGTGGCCTCATTGTCATTATTACCAGATGCGGTTCTGCTTCAGCTTCTCATCATTGGTACCAGTCCAGCAGAGACTGTTGAGGCTCAACACAGATATGGAGAGGGTAAAGAATTTCTTTTATTTTGCTATTTGTTAAATTCATTTCTGTGGTCTCTACTATATATTTTGGAAAGCAGTTCATCAGTCCGTTCGCCACGCATTTGGATACTGCTTCAGATATTGTAACCAAATTTTGTGTCAGCCAACGGAGTTTGCTGCAATACCAGAAGTTTAGTGAAAGGAATCCTTGTTTTGGAGCACACCTTCAAATGGAAGGCGTTCAGACTGGGACTATAAAACAAGAAAGCTTATGTTTATTAAGGGAAGTATATTCTTGAGTTCTACAGCACTAATTAGTTGGAGAAACAAAGAAGCCAGACTTGCCCCTTGGTTCTCAGAAGAGACATCTGAGATGACCTGTTGGCTCAAGGTCCAGAGAAAAGTGTGTGAGGGAAGGTGGAAGTGAAAGACAATGTAACTTGACACATTTCACTTTGACTTCAAAGGGTAGGTTAGCACAGAGATCAAAGGGACAGCTTAGGAATCTGAAGGCCTTCGATGCTGTGAGTCTTAACTCCATGCAGTCCCTTCAACTTCCAGCCGCAACCACTACCACCCTCTGGTCATCAGAACATTGCCTCATCTCTCATGCTTTCCTTCTCCAAGATGGGCTACTTTCCCAGGCTGAGCTCCAACTGCCCCTCACTTCCCTCTACAGCACGTGCAGAAACCACCTTCTTGACCATTGGACCCACTATTGGTCTTGTCCACTCAATCAGCCGGAGCCTGTCTTTGCATGCAGGGGAAGTCCCTAGAACAATGAGGGCTTGAGACCCATCGGCTACCCTCACCTGGTTTAGCCAGTCATCAAAGCTGTTGCTGGGATGTGGCCACTGTCACATGTTGACAGCTTGTAGGAGCCACAGTTCAGTGCTGAGTGCAGGATGGGTATCAAAAGTGGACAAACTACCCCAAAAGGAGCATGACATGTCTCCCACCACAGGTAATACCCCTCTCCTAACACTCCATACACCTCTGTCTAGCGGTATTCAAGCTGGATATGAAGTGCAACCCACCTACCCCTCCAATTAAAGTACACATTTTTCAGTGCACTTTCCAGTTTCTCCCCTCTAACTTGTCTGCCATTTAGGGGGGAAGATCTCTTAGCTTAAGGAGCCCCTTGGCCTTCCACTTTACAAACTGCTATAATCTTGACTCCATGATAAAACAAGAGGCATCCCAGAAAGGAAAAAACAGATGAGCTGAGCATGTCCCGTTTCTCCCCACACCAATCAGAAAAGGATTAATTTGTTTAATTTGCTGGACCCTTTTAGCAAAGCTGAATTATACAGTGGTGTGGCCACATTCTGACACCACATCCTTCACTGCAGGTATGAGTATCAAAAAGTTTGTTGAGGGTTTGGTGGTGGTGATAGAGAACTACAGATTGAGTCACCATCCTGTTGCAAAACTGAGCCACTGGTTAGGCCACTGGTTCCATGCAGCTTTGAAGGCCAAAGTGTGATGCTGGGACCACCCCACTGCTACGAACCTGGAGCAACCCAGTGTGCCAGGTGATGTCCATGATTAAAATCGAGATGGACTTCCTCTTTGCACTGCCTGGGTTTTCACTAGACACCACCTATCTCCCACACTCAAAAGTTATGACACTATCTTTTTTTTAAAAAAATATTTTTTTTTAAACTTTCTTTTCTGTCATTACAAACATCTCATATCAGTAACATACATATTACACATCTTCACCCCTTCCCTCCCAGGCTTCCCTCAGCTTCAATTTCTGGTTTGTTACCCCCTTATTGCATACTGCTGTTTCTTACAATCCACTGTATCATTTCTTCATTATTTTAAATGTTCTCTATCAATAAAGATGTGAGTGTTTATTTAAATCCTGTCATCAAGTCAATGTTTTTTCTTTGTTTCTGCAAATATGTTATAAAAGGTTCCCACTCTTTTTCAAAGTCACTGTTGTCCTTTTCTCATAGTCTATCCATCAGTTTTGCCAGTTCCACATAATTCATCAATTTCTCTTGCCATTGTTCCTTTGTTGGAATTTCTCCAGTCTTCCAGTTTTGTGCTATCAAAATTCTCGCCGCTGTAGTAGCATACATAAATAATGCCCTTTTCTCTTTTGGCAGATCTTGACCTAAAATACCTAACAGGAAGGCTTCTGGTTGTTTAAAAAGTTATCACACTATCTAAGGATGGGTGAGACATTTGGTTTGGTTTGCATTTTACCACAAACTTTTCTAATCTGCACATCTCAAACAGCATGCAAATGAAAACAGAGGTATCTTTTGAACTCTGTCCTTTTCTCAATTTTGCAGTGCAGTTTTCTAAGCAAATAAAGTGTACAGTTCAAAATGCTGAGCCTTATGTGGCTCATGTCCACAATAACCTCCTCTCCCCACAAGAACTTACCTGGACCCTACGATCATTATCTGAGGCCCTTCTTTGTGTGCCCCCATCACAGGAGGCTTGGAGGGTGACAACACACAAACCGGCCTTTTCAGTGGAGGCCCCCTGTTTGTGGAATGCTCTCCCCAGAAAGGTACACCTGGTGCCATCTTCATACTGTTTTAGGCACTGGACAAAGACTTTTATTTTCTCCCCTGGATTTTTGCCCTCTGATTTGAAGGATACCATGGCCTCTTTTCATGGGGTAGGGCTTGTAGTCCTGCCTTTTTGTTTGTGTTTTTAGTCTTTTATTTGAATTGTTGTGTTTTTAGGTTTTTATTGTTGTTTTTAATTGGTTTTAATGTGGGTTGCTTTGAGTTACTTGGTAAGAGTACAATAAATAATAACACAAAACTGTGTACAGTACATAAGTGAAAGTGTGCCTAAAACTCCATATACTAATGAGAATAATATAGAAAGATGCCTATGAGGGGGCGAAATTGCTTGCAAAAGCCTTCATGTAAAGCAAAATTGCATACATATGTTAGGAGAAATGTACACTAAGTACACATTTGCCCCACACATTTAAAACAGAATCATGCCACTTAAAACAGTCATGGCTTCCCCCAAAGAGTCCTGTTATGTTAAGTTTCTTAAGGGTGCTAAAAATCGCTAGGAGGCAATTCTCCCAATTGTTTACGTCACAGAGCTACAATTCCCGGAGTTCCCTGGAAGAGGGATTGGTTGTTAAACCACTCTGGGAATTGCAGCTCTGGAAGAGGAAGAGGAGTCCTTTAACAGAAGGGCCCAGATTCAATCCCCAGCATCTCCAGGTATGGCTGGGAAAGAACCTTCACTGAAATCCTGGAGGGCCACTACCGGTCACAGAAGACAACACTGGACTAGATAGACCAAGCTCTGACAGTGTAATACAGCTTCCTATGCAGCTAAGAGGTATTTGTGGCTCAGGGGTACAGCATCTGCTTTGCATGCAGCCTGTCTTAGCCTCAATCCAGAGCTTTTCCAGATAGACCTGGAAGAGAGAGGCCCCTGCCTGAAACCCTGGAGGGCCCCATCAGCTCAGTAGACCAGTGGTCTGACCAAGGCTGTATACACTCTCTCATTTACCCTGCAATCAGTTACCTGCAACCCATATCTAGCCTGTACCTAACCTGTTGTTTCTTGCAAAACACCGCATTCTGATGCGCCGTCCCCTAAATAAACCCTACCGTATTTACTCAGGTCTAATGTGCCATCGAATCTAATGCACCCCTCGATTTTTGCAGCGTAATAAAGGTGAGCATTAGATTTGAGTAAATATGGTAATTAAAATAAAAAGGAAGAAGAAGGGTGACCTAGCTATGTTTCAAGCTGGCCATTTGTATACAGAATAAAGCAACTCCCTAAGTTCCTGTTTCAGCCCAATGCTTTTGCTGCAGACAGAAAGGAGGGCGGGAGGTCCGTGAGCCTCTGAGGGGCTTTTCCCTCCACTGCCCTGCCTCACACAGCCCTTACCTGATTTGGGGTAGGTAACCAGGAGGACATCAGAGCTGCAGAACTGGAAAGTGCTGGCAAAGTTCAGGGACGCCTGTGTGTGGAGATGGCCAGGCAGGCTGAGGCCGGCAAAGGTCTCCGTTACATCCAGCCTGTACATATTTGCTGGGTTGCAGCTGTGTGTGGGGAGAAAAGCAGCAGCAGGCGGGGAAAGGAGAGCTCCCTTCTTCCTCCCCGCCCCAGACTCCGGGGTAGGGGGAGGAGCGAGGGCTTCAGAGAGGCTGCTTCTGTTTAAGACTCGCATTTTGTGACTGGTACACTCTTTACTCTCTTAAGTCCCCCCTCCCAAAAAAAGCCAGCGTGCTAGTTTGTGTGTGTGTGAATGACATTCGTTGTGAATGTAATTGTGCAGCTAAACAGCTTGCAAGCCTTGCTGTGGTCTGTTTCATGAGAGAGAGGATGATGGCAATAAATCTGCTAGACTTTAAAGAAACAGCAAGACTCTTTTGTTGCTTAGGCAGCTGGGTGCCCCTGAAATAAGCGCAGAAACCAGAGGCGGGGGGGGGGGGGGCTGATTGCGTCTTTCATGTCTGCGTGTGCCTCTCTCTGCAAATTAATTTTACAATGTGCTCAACCCGCTCTTTGGTACAGCGAAGCTCATGGGGCGACATGATGCCTGCAATTAATGCAATAATTTTGCATCACAAAAATCACAGAACCGGAAAGGCCCTCAAAGGTCACCTGGTCCAAACCCATCAGTGCGGGAAATCCAGTTCAATTGCTACCCCTGGCATATGGTTATCCAGCTTTTGCTAGCGCATCCTGTAAAGCTCTCCATACCTCTCCCAGCGATCAGAAGTCCTGGGAGAGTTTTGCTTCCTTTGGATGAAACAGAAGAAGATATTTAAGGGGTACCTCCAAATGACATTTTTGTTCAGGGTTCATTGTGATTTACTTGTGCAAAGCTTACTCAATGGTTAGACCACAGTCCCCTCCAAACAGGTGGGTTTTTGCAGGTGTATTCCTGCAACATGCCGTCGATTCAACAGTGGTGCATTATGATGGATGTATAGTTGAAGATCAATACGCCACTCTTTTTTAAAAAAAACAAAACCAAAAACTAATTTTTATTAAAAATTTACAAAAAGTATGTGCATTGTCTTTTTCAGGTTGCAAGGTCTTTTCTACAGATCAGTTACATTTGATAGGAGTCGCAGTCAATACGTCATTCTGCTTTATTGGTTGTACTGTAATGCTTCCCCAGCGTTAATGCATCCTTGACATCTGGAGGAGCACTCTTGCACTAAAGTGTAACAAAAGCAGGACAACAACAACCCATCAGGAAAGGCAATGATTGCCCTTTTGGAAAGGGCTGCACCTCCATGGTAAAGCATTGCTTGGCATACAGTTGGACCAATGCTCTGACTCAGTATAGGAAGACTGACCTCCCTATGTTTCTTGAGGAAGGGCGTAGCTGAGCACCTGCCTTGCATCCAGAAAGTCCACTTTTCCTTCCTAGGTATATCCAGGTAGGGTGTAATAAGACCCCTTGCCTGAAACCCTGCAGAACTGCCGGCCGTCTATGTTGACAGATCTGAGCTAGATGACTCGCATTCTGTGTTTCCATGTGTGTCCCTTCTGAAACGAAGCATGTGTATTTGTTTGCTTGATTCCTTCTTTATACTTTTATTTTATTTATTTCGTTATTAAAATTTGTATACAGCCCTTCATCTGAAGATCCTTAGGCAGTTCACAACGTAAAAATGCAGAACAAAGCCACATAGCACATAATAAAAGCAAAAACAAAGAAAACCAATAACCCCATTTCCACAAACAAAGGACATAATCAGCCAAAGGCCTGGTTGAAGAGGAAAGTTTTTTCCTGACACTTAAAGATGTATAATGAAGATGCCAGGCGAACCTCCCTGGGGAGAGCATTCCACAAATGGGGAGCCACTGCAGAAAAGGCCCTTTCTTGAGTTGCCACCCTCTGGACCTCTCATGGAGGGGGCACATGAAGAAAGGCCTCAGATGATAAATGCAGAATCTGGGTTGGTTCTTATGGGGAGAGGCAGTCCTTGAGGTATAGTGGTCCTGAGCCGTTTAAGGCTTTATAGGTCCAAACCAGCACTTGGACCCAGAAGCTAATTGGCAGCCAGTGCAGTCAGGACAGGATCTGTGTAATAGGCTCAGACCATCTTGCCCCAGTGAGCAACTTTCAATCCCGGTGCCTTGATCTATTTCCATGAATTTGACATTGTTGGATTGGGTATTTAACTGCGAAGTGTTGTGCAAACATGCACACAAACACATAATTTGCATTATATGCTGTACCACAGAGTTTGCATGATTGACTGCTATATATCAAATTCCCTGGGGGGGGGGGGGAGCTTGTAAAAAGTCCAAGTCCAAGTAAGGGCCAAAAGTATATTATACATTTAAAAGCAAACAAGCAAAACTGCTGCACATAGCACTTCAACTATGCACACCCACACACCCCTGGTCTGTTTCCCCTCAATGTGAAATTGAAGACCACAAGAGGGTCATGAACTCCATTTTCAAAAGGAACAGTTTGCAAAGTGTGCACAAATTTAAGGCTTGTGGTTGTAGAAATGCAGGTCAGAGAAGCGGAAGTGGAGGTGGAGGCAATTCTGCTAATTATGCCCACAATCTACAAGAAAAAGCCACATCATACTTTAAAGGCATGAAGTGGCCTTTCTGTTGCTTGCTGCCTTTTTCACTGATATAGTGATGCTATGAGAATGGGAAAAAATAGTCAACTTTTCATATTACTAGCTTCACACAATCTCACCCAGAATCAGTCTGGGTTCAGGCCTGACCATGAATCTGAATCACCTTCTCCCTTTATTGGGAGAAAGACAGGGAGAGTTCTTCCTCAATCTCTCAGCAGCTTTTGATACCATGGACCATGGCATCTGTCTGCGCCAACTTAATGAGATGGGTATGGTAAGCACGGTTTGACAGCAATTCCCACCTTATCTTGAAGGTGGGTTTCAGAACTTCCTCCCATCCAGGCAGATCTGTACTATGGAAGGGAGCGGGTGGCACTGAGTTCTAAACCACTGAGCCTCTTGGGCCTGCTGATCAGAAGCTCGATGGTTCGAATCCACGCTCTGGTGGTGAGCTCCCATTGCTCGGTCCCAGCTTCTGCCAACCTAGCAGTTTGAAAGCATGTCAGTGTGAGTAGATAAATAGGTACCGCTGTGGCAGGAAGGTAAACAGTGTTTCTGTGCTCTCTGGCACTCGTCATGCTGCCCCATTGTGCCAGTAGTGGTTTAGTCATGCTGGCCACATGACCTGGAAAGCTGTCTGTGGACAAACGCCAGCTCCCTCGGCCTGAAACGAGATGAGCGCCATACCCCATAGTTGCCTTTGACTGGATTTAACTGTCTAGGGGTCCTTTACTTTCCTTTTACTTACTATGGAAGTAATGAAATTTAATCTTCAGGGCCCCTGACCCCCTTTTGAGCAGAGTTCTTTCCCAGTCTGTGGCTGTATTATGATTGTTTTTAGATGGTTGTAGACATTCCAGTTGTTTTATCTCATGTTCGTTTTATCTCTTGTCAGAGTGTTGGACCAAGACTGGGATGAGGAACTTCTGGCCCTCCAGATTCTCTGTTGGACTCCAGTTCCCATCAGCATCAGACAGCATAGCCAGTGACCAGAGATGGTGGGAACAGGAGCCTAGCAATGTCTTGAGGACCACAGGTCTCCCATTTCTTAACTAGGTTATGGGAAACAAGATTTTATTTTATTTAATGGCATTTTAGGCCAATGTCTCTGAGTCTAACTTACCTCACAGGGTTGTCTTGGGGATAAAGAGTGGAGGGGGATAACCATATACCCCACTGCCTTGAGCTGTTGGAGGCAAGTTGAAATATAAATGCAATAATAAATAAAATAAAATGCGAATGTTTATATTTTAATATTTTAGTGTAATTGAACTGTCCCTTCCTTTGTTCTTCTTCCAGCATATTTCACTGATAATATTTTAAAGCAAAAACAGGCCAAAACAACAACAACAACCCTCTACTTTGTTTAGGTGTGTGATTAAAATTGTATGTTTGCAGCCATAAATAAAACAAAAGAATAAAACCTTTTATCTTATTTTGGGGGGGAGAAAATATGTTGAATAATAAGACTCCTGCTGCAAGCAAACAGGAAAGCCTGAGGTAATATGTGTGACATTAATACTGTTTTTGATGCCACAATTGGTTTGGGCTTGTTGGAGGCCCCTGGAGCACCACTGAATCACAGCTTGTGGAATTGGTTTCTGTTTTTACAGACAGAGGATTTAGACAGGATGCAGCGATGAGGCTGAATCCACCATCTCTTGATCCCTGCTTATTATAGCTGAAGGGACTGACTGGATGGGCCATCGCCTCATTATGAAGATCTCCTGCCTGAATCCAGAGTTTTCAAAATATGACCATCCACTCTCTAATATTTCCTCCCTGGGCAACATGATCAAGAGGGTGTTGGCCTGGCAGCTGCAGGTATACCTGGAAAAAACAGATTACCGGTATCTGGATCCATTCCAGTCTGGATTCAGGCCCTGTTTGTGCACTTAAACAGCCTTAGTCACCCTTTATCAGGAGAGAAACTGGGAGACTGTGACCCTGTTGGTTCTCCTTGACCTCTTAGAGGCTTTTGACACAGTTGGCCATTGTGTTCTTCTGGAGTGACAGCAAGGAGGTGGGAGGAATACCCTTGGGAGCTGTCATCCAGCGATTTGGAGTACGGTGTCTTCTGTATGCTGATGACACACAAGCGCTTTCTCTCTCTCCCCACTCTGTCACAATCAGGAGAGGCAGTGAAGGTGCTGCACAGGTGCCTGGAAGTAGTGATGGACTGGATGAAGGCCAATAAACCGACACTGAGTCATGTTAAGAAAAAGTGTCATGGGTGGGTGGTTCCCAGGTCTGAGAACTGGGTGTGTGATCCGATCTGGGAGGGGCAGCCCTTCCTCTGAAGGAGCAGGTTCATAGACTTTAAAGCTTCCCACCTCAGAGATTTAATGAATTTCCACTCACTCAGATTTTGCTATGGGTTATAGAGGGTTCCATCATTTGGGGGGAAGTGTCTGCCCAACTGCGCAGGTTAACTTCAAAGGCAAAACCATGGCCAGCTTAATAGCAAAAGGAGCTCCTTAGAGCAATTCTGGGCTGCATCATGG